AAATCTGTGACTAAGAATTATTGAAAGGCGGGCCACTATTCATAATTTCGCGCCAAATGCCACGAGTTAAGCTTTTTCTTTGGAATGTTCTATTAAAAAGGTGTGATAGCTTGAATAAAATTAAAAAAGAATTTCCTATTAGTTACACTTTCATGAAAAGGTTGAAAATGCTTCGCCAAAAAACTTACCTCACCCTACGACGGTCAATGAATTGGACAGCATTCATGTTCAATAACTTGCATCAGATCTTTGAGAAAATAATGTATTTATAAACTTCATAAAGTGATCTTATTCAAAAATGGTTTTCTTTCTTTCTTTTTTTTTTTTCTTGTCTTTTGTATTAGTTTAATATGACACAAAAGTGCATGGGAAAAACAGTGGTTAAGTTTTATACTTACTTTATACATCGATATTGTTTCTTGATAAACTATTACCTATAACTATGATTTAAGATCTGTTTTTCCGTCGTGCAAAACAAATGATTGTAGGTATCTTATCTCATTTGCACATTTAGTCTGTTCTTTTTCTACTTTGAGCACCAGCCAAAACCAATTATAGAAGACGTTTGAGAAGACCCTGGAATAAATCTTCAGTTTGACACAGAACTGTAACGTAATTACTACGTGACAATCAACGTATTCATTTATATTTCATTTATCCTTATGTTACCTTCGTTCAAACAAACACTCGGCTGCCTCCGTAAACCCCTATTGCGAAATGTCGGAGTTGACAGAGACAGCCGCCATTTTGGACCCGCTTCAGATTTTCAAATGTTAATATCTCGAGTTTGGATTTATCAATTTACAAACAAATAACATATTTAGCCTAATTAAAAGAGTGTCTATTAACCCTACTACAATAATTCAAAAATATTGAAAAACAAAAAAAGTTAGAAAATTCTACTTTTTGAATTCCCATCTGGTAACGACCGGAAGTAGAGACGACGAACAAAAGTTCGCGTCCTGGATAGTACTTATCACGATCTATAATCCCTGAAAGTTTCACAGTGATATCTTTTGCCGTTCTTGAGATTAACCCCGGACAAAATGTCATTTTAAAATCAGAAAAGTGTCCGTAACTTGGCACCAGAAAAGAGTTTTCAAAAAATCTCTCGAATAAAATAACTTCAGATAATAACACATTATTCCTGCAAAATTCATGAAAATCCGTCCAGTAGTCTTTGAGAAATCGCGTGCACAAAATTAGATGTACGGAAAAATAATAATAACTAGAAACGATCTCGTTGCAAGCAACGAGAGGTCTTCCGTCCGATTCAGGAAAAAAAAACCCTCTAAAATCGAGCTGAAAAGTGATAAAAAAAAATTGCCACAAAGAGGATTGAATCCAGGTCGCCAGCGTGAAAATCCAATGCGCTTTTTTCTCTTTTATTCCGAACGCGCTTAAATTACGCTATTGGTTAACTGCTCAGAATGTTTTTGTATATACTTCTTCAACAATACACCTGTCTAAGAACTTTAAAAGGCGCGCCACTATCCATAATTTCGCGCCAAACGCCACGAGTAAATCTTCGCGCCTTTTCTTTGGAATGTTCCATTAAATAGGTGTCATAGCTTCAATGAAATTAAGAAAAAAAGAACGTTCTTATAGCCTAAATTTCGAGGTTTAGACAGTATATTTAACACATTGTACATATTCTATATCGTATATAGGTAAGTAACACTAAAGACGTGAAATAGTTATCATTTTAAACTATTTTTAATTTCCCGTTTATCCCCAAAGTGAACTATCCTGATTAGTTACACCTTACTGAAAAGGTAGAAATGGTTCGCTGAAAAACCTCAAATGTCTCGCCCTACGACGGTCAAGGAACCAGATACCATTTATGTTCAATAGCTTTAAATATCTTTGAGAAAAGAATGTAAATATAAACTCCATTAAACGATCTATTAAAATATGATTTTCTTATTTTTCTCTTCTGTTTGTATAATCTGACACAAGTGTGCATGGGAAAACAATAGTTAAGCTTTATACTTCAGATATACATCGATATTGTTTCTTGAAAAACTATTTCTTATAACTATGATATACGATCTGTTTTTCCGTCGTGCAAAACAAAAATACTGGATTTCGTATTTCATTTGCACTTTTAGTCCTTTCTTTCTTTGACAACTAACCAAAACCAATTATAGAAGACGTTTGAGAAGATCTTGGATTAAATTTAAGTTTGTTACGTAAGTACGACGTGACAATCAAAGTATACCTTTATATTTCATTTATACTTATGTTACTTTCGTTCAAGCAAACGCTCGGCTGCCTCCATAAACCCCTATTGCGAAATGTCGGAGTGGACAGAGACAGCCGCCATATTGGACTCGCTTCAGATTTTCAAATGCTAATATCTAGAGTTTATATTTATAAATATTCAAAAAAATTATATAGTAAGCATCAATGGAAGGGTCTCTATTAAGATTCCAAAAATAAATGAAAAATATTGAAAAACAAAAAAGTTAGAAAATACATTTTTTTTAATTCGCTTGTCCTAACGACCGGAAGTACTGACGACGAACGAAAGGTCGCGTCCTGGATAGCAAATATCACGATCTATAATCCCTGAAAGTTTCACATTTATATCTTCTACCATTCTTGAGATTAACCGTAGACAAAATGTCATTTTAAATTCAGAAAATGTCCCGTAACTTGGCACCAGAAGCGAATTTTCAAAAAATCTCTCGGAAAAAATAACTTCAGATAACAACACATAATTTCTGTAAATTTCATGAAAATCCACCCAGTAGTCTTCGAGAAATCGCGTGCACAAAATTTGGTGTACTGAAAAATAATAATAATAATAATAAGAAACAATAGAATCACTATAAGGTCTTCCGTGAAGACGGAAGACCTTAATAAGAAACAGTAGAATCACTATAAGGTCTTCCTTGAAGACGGAAGACCTTAAAAAACTAATTTCTGTACTGACCCCTAAAATCCCTTTTATTTTAAGAAATTTTATTTTCATGACCTAAGCACCGAAAGGCAATGCTAAAGTAGTTTTTCATGTGAAATATTATGAGACTTGCTTGCTTCCCTTTGAAAATAATGGACATCGTATGATTTCAAATTTAACATAGAAATCTCCATAGGCAATTTTAAAGTACTTATAAAACCGGAAGTACTCTACATATCCATACCAAAATTGACACATAGAGAGCATATTAGAATCCAAACAGCTTGGCAAACGATGATAACTCTTGCATCATTATTTTTGAAAATACTTAAAAATACAAAATTTCAGGTCTCTAACAGTCCTTTAAGGGGTCAAAAAGTGACCCCACGGCCCATAATTTTTAAATTGTACTTTTTATGCTTAACTCAAAACTGAAATCAGTTTGAAGATTGGTTGACAAATAAAAAAGTTACAGGGCAAAAACGATTTTAAGAGTTGACCCCTAAAAGTCCCTAATTTTTAGGGATTTAATTTTCATAACCTTTTCACCTGAAGACTTAATAAATCAATTATTCCCTGTAAATATTACAAGAATTGCTTGCTCTCCTTTTGAGATAATGGAAGATGAAAGATTTTTTTTTTACTATAGAAACTCCCATAGACAATTTCAAAGCCTCGTATAACCGGAAGTTCTGGTCTGGTGGACTTGAAACTTACATTACAGCCTTTAATTACTTTGATAAACAATATATAATCCTCAAAATAAATTTCCTACATTGTTTACAATTTTTTTAATTTCAATCCCCCCTTTTCTTAACTTTGGAGCCCTATAACACAAAAATATACCACAGGTGCAAAAACACTAACGATGACTTTTTTGTAGATATTACTTTGAGGAATACATTCCTAAATTTTGAACGAAATTGCATATAAAATAAGGAAAGTTTTAGGCTTTAGAGAAAATGTAGTTTTTGTCTTATAAATACCGGAAGTGACGTTTCCGGGAGTACAAAACCTTACTTATGGGAGACTTTTAGATGTTCCGTTAAATGGTTTTGTTTTAAATTACATATGTCTAGCGGTTTTCTTTAAATCCTTTAAATAAAAGTGTTAAGTATAATAATAATAATAATAATAATAATAATAATAATAATAAAACAAGACGAAAACAATAGGTCTTTTCGCAGAAAGCGAAAAGCCCTAAATATGAAAACCCTTGACTAACCATTCAGAAATTATGGCAAAGATAAAAGTTTTCAAGAGAAGATTGTGTTTGAAAGTTAGAGTCGAGTTAATTGGTACCAAAAGATCTTGGCACATGAAATCTATGAGAAATATGAAAGTCCTAGCATCAATTATTCAATAGTTATAGTCAAGCTTCAATTTTGTCAAAAGTAGGTTAAACTCTAAAAGTCAAAATAAAAGAATCTGGACACAGAAAGCATAAATAACAAGTAAAAATTATGGCTAAGCTACATTTTGACTAAATTTGCAAAAGAAGGTAAAACTCCAAGGTCAACCATAAGAAATCAAATAAACTGTAAATAAGGAAAGGTCTATCACAAGAAATAAACATAATAAATTTGATTGCATTCAGATGTTATGGGAAATGTTAAGGTTTTTTCAGGCAAACAGGTGAATTGGCAGGTGAACTAACTTATTAAGTTTAGTAACTAATTACTGTAGTCTTCCCTTATTCTCCATGAAAATATGACTTCACACTGATTGATTGTTTGATTCTTTATTGTTTAAAGTCCCTATAGAGAATTTTTCACTCATATGGAGAAGCCACAACTTCCAGTGGAGAGCTGCAAATTTTGTCCTATACTCGGCACTCAGGGCCATTGACCAGGAAGGGATCTTTTTCATGCCAGCACCTAGTACTTCAACACGGGACCTCAGTTTATACAGTCTCATCTGAAGGACCGGTCTCCAAGTTTCACAATGGTATTTGATTCCGCGACATAAGGATCAACTCCTTACTTCGCGACTCTAGAGCAGTGACTCTTCACACTGAAGACTGTAAATATGTCATGAAATACTAGTATGTCCTTGAAGTTGACATATTGGATTACCAGTAAATGGTCAATACTCACTTGCTGAATGTCTCTGATGCTGCTCCAAATATTGCAACTGCATTGACACCACTTAAAACCTAAATAAATAGTTAGTAATCTGGAGTTCATGTTTTATGTCCTGTTCATTGTTTGTAGACAAAATTCTACAAGAAATGATCAAACAGGGTACATATTTTGGAGAATGATTACTGAAAAATTAACCTTAATAAATGGATGACCTTAAACATTAACACATGTTAACACATGTATCTTTAAGCCAGATTTGAAATACTGAAATGCATTTAATAACTCACTGCATCTTTGAATCCCTTTAGATTTGGTGTTAAAGCTGTATATACTATTCCCCTCTGCCTCTTGATTGACTCCAGTACTACAGAATTGTCAGCCATCTAAAAATATGATGTATTATATCTGTAAATATTGTCGGTCAACTTCAATATTTCAGGAATATAGCCCCCCCCCCCCTCCAAAAAAGACAAGAGGCCCAGGGCCACATCGCTCACCTGAGCAACTGACTATGTAAAAGCAAAAATTATTTCAGTATTGAAAAGTTTACATATATATTATAAAAATGGGTTCTGTATTTTGAAAGTTTTTTCAGAAATTTCTATTTTTAGTAACCACTGCAACAATTAATGTTCATCAAAATCAAAAACCAATATAAAGAATTGTGTATCTTAGGGTAGTCTACTTGTGTGCCAAATTATATTGAAATCAGATCAAAACTGTGAGAGGAGTGGCATATTTGAAGTATTTCACAGAAAATTGTTTTTATTAACCAAGGTAACAATGTTCATGGAAATTAAAACAAGAGGCCCATGGGCCTTACAGGTCACCTGCGTATCATGTGACAACTTTCCAACAATTGAATTTGATTCATGTTTTAAACTAGAGGCCATGAAATTCACAATTTTGAAAGAGGCACCATTGCTTATCATAATTATACACTCAGCATTTTATTTTGGTTACTTAATACCCAGAGGTAGATCAGAGTAACAAAGAGAAAATGCATTTCCACTTTTAGTGAATTTCAGGGCCCCTGGGTCATGGCTTCTTGTGTTAGGGTGGGTCCACAGTTGAGCTCCCCATTCCACAGGAACCACTGACCCTGGGGCCACATCTTTCAAAATTTTGGAATTTAAAAAAAAATTTATTTCATCATGCTGTTGATTAATTACGAAGTGCAGATTTCGTATTAAATTATTTCAGACTATGTTACCCCCCCCCCCCCCCCAAGAACCTCTTCTGTCCCAGGGGCCAGGAAATTAACCATTTTTGGAAGAAGCAGGTTTTTTGTCAGAAATATATACTAAGATCATTGGCATTATACCCAACAACAAAGGAAAAGATTTTTCAAAGAATTCAAAGCATTTTCACTGTATAAACATTAGAGCCCCGCCCTAACACAAGAAGCCCTAACCCAGGGACCCTGAAATTCAAAATCCTTCCTCCTCATAACTACATGTATGTACATAGTTCATTGATTAAATACTCAGGTGCAGAAAAGAAGAGTTTTAAAGAATTTATGCATTTTCATTATATAATCAATAAAGCCCTGCCCTTACGTCAGAACTCCCAACCCAGGGGCCATTAAATTAACAATTTTGGAAGAGGTAGCCTTATTCAACATAACTATGTACTTGGTAAGTTTATTTAATACTCAGGAGCAAAGAAGAAAATTTTCAAAGAAATAATTCATTTTTTACTATATAATCTATATAGCCCCACCCTAGCACTAGAACCCCGGACCCTGGGGCCATAAAATTCACAATTTTGGAAGAGGCAGCCTTATTCAACATAACTATGCACTTGGTTAGTTTATTTAATGCCCATGAACTGAGAAGAAGAATTTCAAAGAATTTTTGCATTTTCACTATATAATCTATATAGCCCCACCCTAGGCTACCACTAGAACCACTGACCCTGGGGCTATTAAATTCACAATTTGAGAAGAGGCAGTCTTATTCAGCATAACTATGCACTTGGTTAGTTTATTCAATGCCCACAAACAGAAAAGAAGAATTTCAAAAAATTTATGCATTTTCACTATATAATCTATATAGCCCCACCCTGGCACTAGAACCCCGGACCCTGGGGCCATGAAATTCACAATTTTGGAAAAGATGGTCATTTTCAACTTACCTATGCACTTGGTTAGTTTATTTAATGCCCAGGAGCAGAAAAGAAGAATTTCAAAGAATTTTTGCATTTTCACTATATAATCTATATAGCCCCACCCTAGGCTACCACTAGAACCACTGACCCTGGGGCTATTAAATTCACAATTTGAGAAGAGGCAGTCTTATTCAGCATAACTATGCACTTGGTTAGTTTATTTAATGCCCACAAACAGAAAAGAAGAATTTCAAAAAATTTATGCATTTTCACTATATAATCTATATAGCCCCACCCTGGCACTAGAACCCCTGACCCTGGGGCCATGAAATTCACAATTTTGGAAAAGATGGTCATTTTCAACTTTTACATATGCACTTGGTTAGTTTATTTAATGCCCAGGAGCAGAAAAGAAGAATTTTAAAAAAGAATGCATTTTCACTATACAACCTGCTTAGCCACGACCTATCACTAGAACTCCTGACCCCAGGGCCATGAATTTCACAATTTTGGTAGAGGACTCAATGCTGATTACAATCATACCAACAGTTTGACTGTTTGATGTCCCAGAGTAAAGAAGAAGATTTTTAAGATTGCACTAATTTTAGTGGATTTTGCCCCACCCCCCAAGCCCCAGGGGGGCAGGGACCATGAAATTCACAATTTTTGTTCCCCTTCACCCATAGATGCTATATGCCAAATTTGGTTGAAATTGGTTTAGTGGTTTCAAAGAAGAAGCTAACAAGAGGCCCAAGGGCCTTGAATCGCTCTTCTGATAAATTGTACAATCTATCACTTCTATTTGAAGCCTCTTACTCTAAGTATCCTAAGATGCATGAACTGACAAAGTTTAATGATTCTTTGCCAATTAGGACTGAAGATATTTCAGTATACCTATAAAATACCGTAAGTAGGACATGGTGACCTACTTTTTGATTTGAAACTTTCTGTTGACTCAAGATGCATTAATTGACAAAGATTGATGGTTCTAAGCCAATAAGTACCTCAAATATTAAAGTAGGTCACTGTGACCTTCTTATGGTTGACATTCTCCGAGGGCCAAAGATGCATCAACTATCAGAGTTTGATGATTCTAAGCCAATAAGTACCAGAGATACTTAGATAAAGCAATAAAATGTAAAAAAAAATAGGTCACCGTGACTTACTTTTTGGTCGACATTTTCCGAGGACCAAAGATGCATCAACTGACAATGTTTGATGATTCTAAGCCAATAAGTATCTGAGATAATTAAAAGTAGGTCACTGTGACCTACTTTTTGGTCGACATTCTCCAAAAACCCAAGATGCCTCAACTGACGTTTGATAATTCTAAGCCAAATAGTACCTAAGATATAACCATAAAATGTCTAAACTACGGAAGGTCACGGTGGCCTACTTTTGGCCAACATTCTCTGAAAAACCAAGTTGCATCAAATGACAAAGTTTTTATAATTCTAAGCCAAAAAGTACCTAAGATACTTAAATATAACCATAAAATGTCAAAAGTAGGTCACCATGCTTTTTGGTCAACATTTTCAGAGGGCCCAAGATGCATCAACTGACAATGTTTCATGATTCTAAGCCAATAAGTACCTGAGATAATCAAAAGTAGGTCATTGAGACCTACTTTTTGGTCTACATTCTCCGAAAACCCAAGATGCCTCAACTGACAACGTTTGACAATTCTAGGCCAATTAGTACCCAGGATACTTATGTATAGCCATAAAATTCAAAAGTAGGTCACAGTGACCTACCTTTTGGTTGACATGTTCCGAAAACCAAAGATGCATTAACTGACAAAGTTTGATGATTCTAAGCCCAAAAGTACCTGAGATACTGAAATATAGCCATAAAATGTCAAAACTAGGTCACAGTGACCTACTTTTTGGTCTACATTCTCCGAAAACCCAAGTTGTATCAACAGACAAAGTTTGATGATTATAAGCCAAAAAGTACCCAAGATACTTAAATATAGCCAAAAAAATGTCAAAAGTAGGTCACCGTGCCTGCAAAATTCAAAAAGAAGGTCACAGTGACCTACTTTTTCATAAATATGTTTTAAGGCCCCAAGATGCATCAACTTACAAGATTTGGTGAATCTAAACCTCTCACTATCTGAAATAATGGGATTAAATGTTTTAGAAAAGATGAGCCATAAAATTCAACAAGAGGCCCAAGGGCCTTGAATCGCTCTTCTGATAAATTGTACAACCTATCACTTCTATTTGAAGCCTCTAACCCTAAGTATTCTAAGAGCCAAGTTGCATCAACTGACAAAGTTTGATGATTCTTAGCCAATTATAACTGAAGATATTTTAATAAAGCTACAAAAAAAACCATAAGTAGGTCACAATGACCTACTTTAAGATTGAAGTTTTCTGAGGACTCAAGATGCATTAATAAACAAAGATTGAAGATTCTAAGCCAATAAGTATGTGAGATAGTCAAAAGTAAGTCACTTTGACAAATTTTTCATCTACATTCTTGGAAAAACCAAAATGCATCAACTGACAAAGTTTGATTATTCCAAGCCAATAAGTACTGGAGATACTTAATTATAGCCATAAAATGTTAAAAGTAGGTCAATGTGACCTAATTTTTAGTAGGCGATTTTCGAAAGCCCAAAATACATCAACTGACAAAGTTTGATGATTCTCAGCCAATATGTATTAAATGAGATATTCAAAAGTAGGTCACCGTGACCTACTTTTTGGTCATCACTCTCCGAAAACCCAAGATGCATCAACTCACAAAGTTTGATGATTCTAAGCTTATAAATACCTAAGATACTTAAATAAAGCTATAAAATGTCAAAAGTAGGTCACCATGACCTACTTTTTGGTCGTCACTCTCCAAAACCCAAGATGCATCAACTCACAAAGTTTGATGATTCTAAGCTTATAAATACCTAAGATACTTAAATAAAGCTATAAAATGTCAAAAGTAGGTCACCGTGACCTACTTTTTGGTTGTCACTCTCCAAAAACCCAAGATGCATCAACTCACAAAGTTAGATGATTCTTAGCCAATAAATACTGAAGATACTTAAATAAAGCCATAAAATGTCAAAAGAAGGTCACCGTGACCTACATTTTAGTCAACAATTTTCAAAGTCCCAAGATGCATCTGCTGACCAAGTTTGATGATCGTAGGTCTGAAGGTAATCAAAATATGCCTTTTAAACAATATGAAAACATATGCCTGCAAAATTCAAAAAGTAGGCCACAGTCACCCACTTTTTCATAAATATGTTTTAAGGTCCCAAGATGCAGCAATTTACAAGATTTGATGATTCTAACCCTCTCAGTGTCTGCAATAATGGGATTAAATTTTCAAAAAGGATAAGTCATAAAGTTCAAAAAGTAGGTCAAGGTGACCTACTTTTAAGTTGACGTTGTTCAAGGACCCAAGACGCATCAACTAACAAAGTTTGATGATCATAGGCCTTAAAGTGTCCAAAATATGCCTTCAAATCAATTTGAAAACAAATGCCCGCAAAATTTAAAAAGTAGGTCACTGTGACCTACTTTTGATTTAACATGATGTGAAGTCTTAAGATGCATCAACTTACAAGATTTGATGATCCTAGTCTTTATAGTAAGCAAAATATAAACGTTTTTATCAATTGTAAATTTAGGTCAACTTTGAAGTGACCTTGAAACCACGCCCTTTGCCCCAGGGTCATGCCTTGAACAATTTTTAATCTTTGACATATCCTGATCCTTGTGTGTAAGTTTGGTGAAAATCTGCCAGGTGATTCTGGAGAAGAAGATTTTATAGCAACCGGTACTTTTGGTTTTGTTTTCCTGATTATTATCTCCCCTTGTTTAAGGGTCCCAACCCTTATTTTAGTATAAATGGTAGCCCTTGGGCCAAGGATACCCTGTGACAAATTTGACACTGATTGGCCAAGGCGTTCTTGAGTTATGGCCCATTTTCTAAAAAGTTAACGCACACCGCACACCGCACGACGCAGACCGCACAAATGGCCATAGCATTAGCTCTTTGAGCCTTTGGCTCAGAAGAAATTAAAAAGTAGGTCACGGTGACCTACTTTTAAGTTGACCTTGTTTAAGGACTCAAGATGCATCAACTGACAACGTTTGACGATCATAGGCCTTAACGTGTCCAAAATATGCCTCCAAATCAATTTGGAAACAAAAGCCCATAAAATTTAAAAAGTAGGTCACGGTGACCTACTTTTGTGTTAACACGATGTGAAGTCCTAAGATGCATCAACTTACAAGATTTGATGATCCTAGTCTTTATAGTAAGCAAAATGTAAACGTTTTTATTAAATGTAAATTTTGGTTAACTTTGAAGTGACCTTGAGACCACATCCTTTGCCCCAGGGTCATGCCTTGAACAACTTTTAATCTTCAACATATCCTGAACCTTGTTTGTAAGTTTGGTGAAAATCTGCCTGGTGGTTCTGGAGAAGAAGATTTTTTAGCAACTAGTACTTTTGGTTCTATTTTCCTGATTATCTCCCCTTGTTTTAGGGTCCAAACCCTAGTTTTAGTATAAATGGTAGCCCTTGGGCCAAGGATACCCTGTAACAAATTTGACAATGATTGGCCAAGGGATTCTTGAGTTATGGCCCATATTCTAATAAATTGCCACGCCACAGCATGATACGCCCGTCAAAAAATTACACAATTATCTTTAACAGTTTAGAGTGCAAGAAAATCATGTCAACCTTGATTCTAAGATTTCAATGATTTTTCCATTTTTTTAAAAAAATATTTCTTTACCCATCCCCTGTGCTGTAGGCATAATTATAACAAATATTACATAACTGATAGATTTCTATACTATTTGTGTTAGACTTTGTCAAATGCCGGCCATCATAATAAACAATATCAAATTAGTCTTAACAACTTAATCTATGCCAAATCAATTTTGAAAAGAAAGGCTGGCCATCAAATGATATATGCTATAAACTGACCAGCAGTTCTTCTGTCTAATCCCCAAAGGATACAGATAAGGCAGCGCTTGATCAGATAGCCTTCCTACATTGAACTCATTAATTAATTTTTGACTGGATGCTTGTCTACTCATTACTCCCTTACTATTAATTGATCTGCACTTTTTATCCTAAAACACTTTTAAAACATATAAAATACTCCATGATTTCTTTTTAGATGTAATGCCAGACAAGTTTTATATTTAATACATATGGACAAGTAGGCATGCTGATTCAACACCACTCCAAAAAATTAGTTTTTAATTAATTAATATTATATAATATCAGATTATTAGTTTATTATGCAATATCAAATAAGTTTTAATTACTTTTCATAAAATTCATTTTAAAACTTAGGCTAGCCAACAAGAGCTATTTTTAATCGGCTGTCCATTTGCCCAATACCCGAGGGATATAGATAACAGCAATGCTCTACTAGTTACCTCCTCACACTAAACTCATTAATTTCTCTCTAATTTGACATGCAACTTTCTGCTATCAAAATTCTTCTTGAGTGCTTGATAATTATGCCCATGGGACAAACTGAATTCCTCTCATTAACATTGAAATTTGTTTAAGATTGCTGTAAAGTATATGATAAAAAAAATAAGTTTTTACTTGATTTAATACTTTTTAATAAGGATACAACTCTATTTTTTACATTTTTAGGATTATGAAATTTAAAATTTAAAAAACTTAGTTTTTAAAAAAATTTCACTAAAATTAAAGGTCACAGTGACCTTGAAATAGGTCGCGACACACCTTCTACCTAAGATGTATACTTTTGCCAAGTTTGATAGCTCTAGGTCTAATATTTTTCTAGTTATGAGCCGGACAGGATTTTTCCATATTTGGCCATAGCATATTTATTAAAGGTCAGAGCGACCTACTTTTTGTGCGCGACACACCGTCTACCCAAGAAGTATCAGTTGACAAAGTTTGATAATCCTAGGCCTAATAGTATTGAAGTTATGAGCCGGACACGATTGGACAGACGGACGGACGGACATGAAGCCTATAACATAATACGTCCCGTCTTAAGACGGGCGTATAAAAAGTTAACGCACACCGCACACTGCACGACGCACACCGCACATCGCACAAATGGCCATAGCATTAGCTCTTTGAGCCTTTGGCTCAGAAGAGCTAAAAATGTTCAAATGTTAACACACAACGACGGACGAAAACAGATAGCAATAGGTCACCTGAGTTTACTCAGGTGACCTAAAAATGGACAAACAGAATTATGTATCTTAGTGTAGTCTACTTGTGTGCCAAGTTATATTGAAATCAGACCAAAACTGTAGGAGCCGAGGGATAGCATTTTGAAAGTATTTCATAGAAATTTCTATTTTTTGTAACCATGGCAACACCATTCATTGAAATCAAAAACAATATGAAAAATTATGAATCTTAAAGTAATCTACTTGTGTGCCAAGTTATATTGAAATCAGACCAAAACTGTATGAGGAGTAGCATTTTGAAAAATTGTTTACAGACAGACAGACAGTCATAAAGCTAGACAGACAGACAGACAGATGGACACATTTCTATCGCATAAGCTCTTTTGGTCTGACCAGTAGAGCTAAAAAAATACAGCAATGGGTATTGTGAATATATCGGATACACCAGTTAACCGTTAATATCACACCGCACTAGTTTCAAGATGAAGTCAAAAGCATCAAATATTTACAGAGGGAGACAGAAACATCAGAAAAAATGTGATCACTTGAACTTTAAGCTCAGTTGAGCTCATTAAAAAATTAATGAAGTAGAGAAAATACCTGTGGAATCCATTTTGGAGATACAAAACTTGTAACTTCAATTACAGGAAGCTGTGCTTCAGATAATTTGTTGATAAATTCAACTTTTGTCTCTGTAGGTACAAATTTCTGTCAAATAAAGATTTTGACAATAAGATTATATTAAAGTAATGACAATAAATTTTCCACAATAATGTAAAACAAACAGCCTTCAACTTATTATACACCCCCTCTTGAAAAGTGGGAGGGTATAAAGTGATCAGGATGTTTGTCTTTACCATCAGTCTGTTACACTTTGGGGTACCCATCTCTTATCCACAACTCCTCTTATACCATTGAATGAAATTAAAAGAGACTCACAAAATCTTTGTTATGCATGTATAAAGCCATTTATATAATGACCTCCTACTTTACTTTTTGATCAGACACATTTTGAGTTGTCCATAGCAAAACATGGACACTGCCATTCTTTCTATGATATTGAAGCATCAATTTTTATTATATCTTCAACTCCTCCTGTACCACTCATCACCGAATAAAATTTAACAAGAAGTCTGTGAGCCAATGCTCACTAGTAATACCCCAGCTCTGATGTGAATATACACTATTATGTTAATATACACAAGTTCAGTTACAGGAAGATGCACAGATAAATATAGGATCTCCCATGATCTGTGGATGGATATGAATTTTATCCAACAAGTTTAGTGTTTTTTTTTAATCCCCAAGCCTTGGTAAGGGGATAAAAACACACAAGTTGGATAAATATCATATCAAACTGCAAATCATGGGAGATTCTTTTTATCCCATGTTAAATACTTCATAACCAATGTTTTACACTGTTTCTATATTGGACTCCACTTAATTTTACTTCATCACGCTATATGCAGAAACCATTGTGATGTCACAACTGCACTGAACTGTGGGATATAAAACAAGAGGCCCATGGGCCACATCGCTCAACTGAGTAACTTGAGTGATGCAGTTCTTTACCAGTCTCATCTCTTGTTATACCTATTGGGGCCCCCTACCCCCTCCCTGTCATGATTTTTTATACTATAGAATCTACACTACCCAAGGATGCTTCCACATATACTCTAGAATCTACACTACCCAAGGATGCTTCCACATAAGCTTTCCTGACCCAGTGGTTCTTGAGAAGAAGATTTTAAAAGATTTTTCCTATATATTTCTATGTAAAAATTGGATTCCCTATTATGGCCCTGTCCTACCCCCGGGGGCCATGATTTTGACAATTTACAATCTTCACTACCCTAAAATGCTTCCACATAAGTTTCAGCTTTTCTAGCCCAATGCTCCTTGAGAAGAAGCGTTTTTAAGATTTTTTCCTATATATTTCTAAGTAAAACTTGGGATTCCCTATTGTGGCCCCACCCTACCCCTAGGGGTCATGATTTTAACAATTTAGAATTTACACTACCCTAGGATGCTTCCACATAAGTTTCAGTTTTCCTGGCTCAGTGGTTCTTGAGAAGAAGACTTTATAAGATTTTTCCTATATATTTTTATGTAAAACTTGGATTCCCTATTGTGGCCCCGCCAATCCCTGGGGTCATGATTTGAACAATTTAAAATCTACACTACCCCAAAATGCTTCAACATAAGTTTCAGCTTTTCTTGCCCAGTGGTTCTTGAGAAGAAGATTTTTAATGACCCCACCCTATTTTTGTCTTTTCTTAATTATCTCTCCTTATGAGGGGTCTTTGCCCTTCGTTTTTACAATTTAAACTCCCCTTTAACTATGAACGCTTTGTACCATTAGTTTGATTAAAATTGGCCCAGTGGTTCTTGAGAAGAAGTCAAAATTATGAAAAGTTAACAGGGTCCGCCGTTATAAAACATACTTAAGTCTGAGAATGCTCTCAAGTCTGAGAATTTTCTTAAATCCAAAATTCTCAGACTCAGCGGCCGTCATAAAAAGTTGAGAAAAATAAAAATTCCTTAATCTCTTCTATTCTCAAATTCTCAGCTGAGTAATTCTCAAGACTTGAGTTGAGATTTTTTTGAGAATTCTCAAAGTTTTATGACGGCGGACCCAGGTGGACGTATGGAGAGACAGATAGCCTTCGGCTCAGGTGAGCTAAAAATGTATCCCACCATATGGCATGCCTAAGCAAAGAAAGTGCCTCTGCAATGAGTAGTTGCTAAGAAAATTGTGACAAAAATTTGTTATGTATGGTACAGCTAGATGCATGGTCATAAACAGGAAGTTGAAATCGGATTTGAACGAAAATGTATCCCACTATATGGCATGCCCCAGCAAAGAATGCACTAAAATTACAAGCACCTGCAATGAGTAGTTGTTGAGAAAACTGTGATCAAAAATTTGTTACAGACACACAGACTGACGGAAAAACACGCAAGGGTAAAACAGTATACCCATTTCTCATTCAGAGCTGGGTATAATGATACTTTCACAGATTCTTTTTTACATAATGCAGTTGTGCACTTCCTAATTTACTTTTCAATCTGACATTTATGAGGGTTGTTCCAAAATTCAGAAGACAAGCGTTGTTTTGTAGGAACCCAATGTCATATATTAAGGAAACTTCTTACATAGATTAAACCAACACTTTCTAATAAATTCATAAACAAATAGCAAATAACTACATAAATTAGCCCTATTTAAACGATACATTTCATTCTCTTGTGTAGGAAGGCAGCGCTGTACCTGAAAGTTGCAATTAAAATTTGTATATTACATTTAAAATCCTACGGAAAAGTAATTACTACTCTGTATTTTTTTTAATGCAAATGAAAATTCTGAATAATGTAATATAAACCATATTTCCTCAAATTTTGGTATTTAAGTTTTCTCAAATATTAATTTTATAACGTTTTATATACATCAGGTTGAAATCCGACTTTTTGAAAAATTGTGGCTGCGTTGACATAGGCGGCGCACTGGACTAAAATCAAGTGTTTTGATTCTGAATTCACTCTTACAGAAATGTACAAGTCATAAATGTTTGGTAGGAAAGGAAATGTTTTCGGGTCCTTAGTATTTAAAATGATTGAAATGGTATCTCTATGTAAGTGAATAACGGAAACTTAAAAAAAAAGATGTATTTGTGAAACACTGATGCCCCGTATGGCAACATAGCAAAGATTAAAATTTTCTTTGATGCAAATTTAATATATTGGACATAATTGGTACCAAAAGTAGAATATTCTCATTGGAAATACAATTGTGAAATATGAAAGTAGGCCAAGGTTAAAAAATTTTCATAAGTACAAAAATCTTCAAGGTCATAGGTATCCAATGAAAGGTCTTACCACAAAAAATACATATGTACATTATGGAAGCTCTAGCCCTAACCGTTAGAAGTTATGGCCAAGGTTAAAATTTTAAAAAGTAGGTCAAACTCCAAGGTCAAGGTCATTAGGTCTTGCAATCAAATGAAAGTTCTTGTCACAGGATTAAGTATGTAAAGTATGAAAGCACTAGCGCTAATCCTTTAAAAGGAATGGTCAAGGTTTTTTTTAAAGTAGGTCAAACTTCAAGGTCAAGGTCAAAGGTTCAAAGTTCTTGGTATCCAATGAAGGGTCTCTCAGAAGGATTACATAATTGAAGTATGAGATCACAAGCCCTTAGCGTTCAAAAGTTTTTTGCCAAGGTTAAAGTTTTTTCATAAGTACAAAATCTCCAAGGTCAAAAGGTCAAAGTAATTGGTATTCAATGAAAGGTCTTTCACATAGAATACATATGTAAAATATGGAAGCCCTAGCCCTAACCGTTTAGAAGTTATGGCCAAGATTAATTTTTTTAAAGTAGGTCAAACTCAAAGGTCAAGGTCAAAGGGTCAAAAGTCTTGCTATCAAATGAAAGGCTTTGTCACAAGAATTAAATATGCAAAATACAAAAGCATTAGCCATAACCCTTTAAAAGTTATGGTCAAGGTTTGCTTTTTCAAATTAGGTCAATATCCAAAGTCAAGGTCAAAGGGTCAAAGTTCTTGGTATCCAATAAGGGTCTTTTCATAATGATTACAAATGTGAAGTATGAAAGCCCTATCCTTTACCATTCAAAATTTATGGCCAATGCTAAAGTTTTTTCACAAGTATAAAAGTCTCCAAGGTCAAGGTCAAAAGGTCAAGGTTGTTGGTATCCAATGAAATGTCTTACCACAAAGAATACATATGTGAAGTATAAATGTCCTGGTGTCTATTGTTTAAAAGATATGGCCAAAGTAAAAGTTTGGAATTTTTGTGGGTCAAACTCCAAGGTCAAATTTGGTGGTACCCAAAGAAAGGTCTTGTCACAAGGAATACACATGTGAAATATGAAAATCATAGCTCCACTAAATCAAAAGTTATAGGCAAGGTTAAAGTTTTTGCGGACAAAAAGACAAACAGCTAGACAGACAGAGAGACAGCTAGACAGACAGACAGACAGATGGACGCCGGACAAAATGTGATCAGCAAAGCTCACTTGAGCCTTCAGCTCAGGTGAGTTAAAAAGTAAACACAAAGAACTTTTCAAGCTTTACGCCAGTTTTTGTTGTTTTTTTTTTAGGGGGAGAGCCTGGGAGAGGGGTGCTGGGGGATCTTTCACGGGGATGTACATGTACTCCCTCCCTAAATCCAGATTTTCCCCTTAATTATGTTCCCCAAACGAAGTTGGGGAACATATTGTTTTTACTCTGTTTCTTATTATTAAGGTCTTCCGTCTCCAACGGAAGACCTTATTGTTTTCGTTAGGTTTCTTTTTCCCTATTATTATTATTAAGGTCTTCCGTCTCCAACGGAAGACCTTATTGTTTTCGTTAGGTTTCTTTTTTCCCTATTATTATTTTTTTTTTCTTACCGATTTTGTGCATGCGATTTCTCGGAAACGGCTCGGACGAATTTCACCAAATTTTCAGATCTGATAGATATTCATCTGAACCTTGTCGGAAATTTTCATCGTCGATGACGTCACCTCCGGTCGTGAGATACGGACGATTTTCTGAATTTTAGAGGGTCGGCTTGTCCTGAGATCTCCTCCTAAACGACTTAAGATATTGAGTTGAGATTTTCCGTGAAGGTAGAGGAGGGAGAGTAGATGTGACATTTTGCATATAGACCTTTCCAGGTAAAAAGGCATCGACGCTCGCCTGGGCTCGAAAA